CACAGCAACCTCCAACTCCTGGGCTCAAGCGAGTCTCCTGCCTCAGCCTCCCAGGTAGCTGGGATCACAGGCACCCGCCATAACACCCGGCCATTTTTTGGTTGCAGCCATCATTGTTGTTTGGCGGGCCCAGGCTGGATTCGAACCTACCACCTTAGCCACTTGAGCCACAGGCACTGAGCCAATTATCTTTTTTCTTAACCATAAATATTGCAATCGGTGAATCATTACCTTCCAGGTGCTGTTAAATTTTTGTTAGTGAAGAAATCTATACCAGATGGAGCATATTGCCAAGAAATTTCCTCAGCAGCAATATAGTAATCTATAACCTGTTTCCCAGAAACATTCGTGGAAGGTTTGTGGCAATTCTTTACTTTGAAAAATGCTTGCAGACTCTCTGGAAAACAGTAAACCCAAGTAGAGAATGTTATTAAAACATGAATCAAATTGTCTCTGTCCATCTATATTTTTAATTTTAGCCAATAATATTGAAACTTTCTGTTTCTTTCAGAAATTGTATGAAATCTATAGACAAATTTAAAACGCATGATACACATACTAAAACCAAGATGCAAAAATGAATATTAAAGAGACATGTATTGCTAGAGGATAATATTGGGAACTAGCTTTAGGCCAGTCATAGGTGGAGATGGCACCTATATGCTGGAAAGAATTTAAGAGTCTATTTGGCCAAGAATATTTCCCCTCATGGATATGAAATTGCTACTACCAGTCACTAACGAGTTAGTTGATTTGTTAGATTAACAAATTCTCAGGTAGGAAGTAAATCAAGGCAAGTACATTTCTATGACATCAGTCCTACGTTTTGGTTTTAGAGCACTGTTGATGGGAGTGTAAATTACTATAAACCTTCTGGAAGACAATTTGGTAATATTTTTTAAAATTAAAAGCCCTTCTATGACATAATTTCACCTCTTCATATTTAGCCATGGGAAATTTCCGCACATACCTAAGCATATAAAAAGGCATTCACGCTGTTACCAAACAAAAAAAAGTGGAAGCAATTTAAATGCCTACCAGTAGGCAAATGGTTAAATAAATTAGGGTACATCCAAAATATGGAAAACAGGCCAACTTTTAAAAGAATAAAATGTATAAGGAATGTGGGGAAAGAAACTTCGAGAATTCAATATGGTGAGCAATGAAAGTCAGCAACAGAATATTATCTGCGTGTGATCTGCTTACAGAAAACATGGCTATGTATTTTAATTTTTACATGCTCATGTACGGTACACAGGTTTGCAAGTACATTCATTGCAGTGGTGACTCTCTGAGGAGGGGAGTGGAATGGTAGTGGAGTAGGGTTATACTAACAGTGTGTTTTTAAAATAGCTTCCCCCAACCAAACACAAAATCTGGTCTGCATGCTGATTGTTGTGATGTGAATCTTCCTACTGTGACCAGTTTGAAGCTACCTACAGTTTACTGGCTGGATTATTTAACTATCAGCAATCTTGGGCCTTATGAGTGGACTCCAGTATACCGCCCTAGATTCTTTCACTTTTTCTGCCTGCCTCCCTCCACCTAATTTTTCTCCCTCTCTTCCTCCTTCCCTCTGTCTATCTTCCTTCCTTCTCTCTCCCTCCATCCCCCCTCTTTCCTTCCTCTTCTTTCTTTGCTTGCTTTCTTCCTGCCATTCTTTCTAGCAAAGATCTCTTCGTATATTTTCATCATTACTACAAATAAAAAAGACCAGAAGTAAATTAAAAAATAAAAATGCTATAGAAAGACACAGAAAGTGTGGGGGGGAAACAGTAGAAAATAATGGGGTCCATCCTCCTAGTGTCTAGGGCTCCCCCTCTGCAAAGCTAAGGTGGAAAGACCTGGCTGGAAGAGTGGATGCAACTGACTGTACATTTTAGCCTGAAACTGATATTCCATTTTAATACAATCTTTTCATGACTAAATTCTGTTCTTAAATTATAATAGCCATGAATGATTTTTCTTTTTCCCACACCCCTGGGAGGGACCCACAATGTAGGAAATCCTGATAAATACTTGTCATTTAGCTATTTAAATAATTAACCAAAACATAATACTAACAGAAGCTTAGGACTTGTGAAAGGATCGGTTTTGATAAAAGAAGGAAACTCCATTTTTGGACCAAAAAAATAAAGTTACATTCTTTAAATCTAATGATAATTAGGGTTTCTGATTGAAAAAGAACATTTACACAATTATATATAGAGTCTGGTTTTATTTAAGAATAGAAAAGATTAGTAACTTCATAACTGACCATTCTATCATTAAATGAACATGTGATTGAGGAAGGAAATAAATTAAAATAAGAAGGGTTACTCAGTAATGAGTTGGACTTACTCAGTTCTGCATAATTCTTTGCTCTACTTATTATAAAATTTGAGGGCAAGTGTTTTAATCTCTTGAAACTTGTTTCCTCAGTTAAAAAAAAAATAAACCTGTAATAATAAACTGCTCTGAGCCGGCATGGTGGCTCACGCCTGTAATCCTAGCACTCTGGAAAGCCAACACAGGTGGATTGCCTGAGCTCACAAGTTCAAGACCAGACTGAGCCAAAGCGAGACCCCATCTCTAACAATAGCCAGGTGTTATGGCAGCACGTGTAGTCCTAGCTACTTGGGAGGCTGAGGCAAGAGAATGGCTTGAATCCAAGAGTTTGAGGTTGCCGTGAGCTATGACTTCACAGCACTCTACCAAGGGTGACAAAATGAGACTGTCTCAAAAGAAAAAAAAATACCTGCTCTGTCTGACAATCAGGGTTCTTGTAAAACTCAGAAGCTAATGACTATAAAAGGATTTTTATAAAAACAACAACATCTTATATACCTAAAAGAGTTTATTGTTATAGAGTAAAAAAGTTGTCAAGGACCAGGGTTCCATCACTGACTATTTCCCAAAGAAACAGTATCACCCTCCTGGATATCAAGTTCTTCATTTGTAAGATGAGACATTTGCAATGGTTGTAACCTTGGAAGTTATTGGACCCTGTATTATTCAAAAGTAATAAATCTCTACCATGTATCTGGCAGCCCAGCATCCACTCTCCGGGGCCCTTGGCCACCATGAGGGCATCTTCCAACGAGGCAGGGAAGACCATAATGTTGTCCTTTCTGTGATTCCGGGAGATCAGAGTTTGTCCGTGGAGATAGATGGAATGTATGTTAATCCCACCGCCAATGCTGACGAAGTGCCAGTGGACCCTGTCTTCTGCACACATGGTGAGATTGGGCAGATTTCCATAGATGTACCCATTTATGGCTGAAAATAAATATATTTTAACCAATCGAGCATGGTAAATCAGTGCCACAGGGTAGACATTCTATGCATTTCCTTATTAGATAAACCCCACGGTGTCAACATCATTCTCACACATAATCTACAACATTCGATTTGTGTTTTGAGAAGAAGGAGGACAGCTCATCCCCAGATGTATGATTAGAAGTGAGGGGAGCACAAAGGTTTAGAGACAAGAGGAGAAAAGGTGAGTGGAGAGGCAAGAAGCAGTGAAAAGGGGAAAAGTTCATAAAAGGAGAAAGCGAGGAGAGAGGTGATTGAGATTCCGAGAACATCCGTTCTGAAAAATTCTATGTTGGATAAAAACTTCTTCCCATAAAAGAGCTAGTCAGTTATATCTTTGTTCTTTCATAATATTTCATTACCTCAACATTACATCTTTCCTATGTTTTTAGCCGTCTATTTTAAACCGATATCAGAAGACAAAATGCATTTGTCAAATTTTGCTTGCTGTGAAACTTAGAAAATAAGCAAGATTCACTAGTTGACTTATATGTCTGCTAGTATACCCTGAGTGAAACATCGCAAAACAGAAACTCTATTAAACAAACCTGAGCAAAAGGAAGTTACTAATTAGGAACATAGAGATTAGAATGATAAGATATTATGAAAGAGAAAGTTCTTGTAATCTTACAGTACATGGTATTGTTCTCCACGAAGCCAGGATCACTAGTATTAGATGTATGAGTATTTTCATTTATATACCAGCTATTGCTTTCTTCGACTATAAAAAATATCAGAAAAAATGACTCATCGATATTTTTTTCAGTGTCTCCATTCAGTGTACCTGAAACAAAAAGAAGAAATGTCTTCTTTTTCATATAGATAATAATCAGAGCGATTGTTGAAGATGCAACTATTTTTACAACTTACAGTTTGTGTAATGGTTAGAACACATGAAAAAAGTAAATGTTTGTGACATGGGATTACACAAAACTTTAAAAAGCACATTACACAGAGGAACCCAAACTTTTAGCATGTACACTCATCTTTAAGTCTAACTTTCTGGAGTGTCCACATCTGACAACCATTATCATGGGAGATCGTTCAATGTACAAACTCTCAAAATTTGTGCTTCCTCAAGTTCATGCTAATTAACGTATTCATTTGTGCTTATATTCAACAAATGTGTTTGGTGAGTGGTCAGTTCACAAAAGTAAACAGGACAGGTGCCTAGGCTTGGCACCTGTAGCTCAGCAGCTCGAGTGCCAGCCACATACACCAGAGCTGGCGGGTTTGAACCCAGTCCAGGCCTGCCAAACAACAATGACAATTACAACAACAACAATAGCTGAGCGTTGTGGCAGGTGCCTGTAGTCCCAGCTACTTATGAGACTGAGGCAAGAGGATCACTTAAGCCCAAGAGTTTGAGGTTGCTATGAGCTGTGACAGCACAGCACTCTCTATTCAGAGTGACATAGTGAGATCTGTCTCAAAAAAAAGACAGGTTTCTACCCTTGCAGAACTTATAATCAAGGGTGAAGGTTGTCAGTAAATAACACAATATAATGTTTAAAGTCCTATAGAGGGAAGACCAGGGAGGCGGGGAGGTGGCTAACTGAATCTCGAGTGTGAAAAGATTCCCAAAGGCAGTGGGACTTCAGTTGATACCTAAAGGATGAGTAAGCATTTGCTGGGGGTATATCTGGAGAAAAGATTTAAGGCAGCAATTAAGAGAAAAGAAGGTTGGACTTTCTCACCAGAAAAATCCATAGTCATTGTAAGATTTTAAGCAAAGGAGTGACAGAGTCAGCTTGCCCTCCCAGAACCATCCTCCCACCCTCGACCGTAGTAGAGATGAACTGAAAGGGGAGCACTTAGAAACTGGCAGAGCAGAGGCTGCTGCTCGCACCCTGGCAAAAGGACGGTAGTGGCCTGAACTAGGTTACAGTCTATGTGGAGCTGGAGAGAAGTGAGCTGATCCAGTGAAGTGTAGGAAGCGATGTTGGCAGGACTTAACTGATACGATGTGTTTGGTGGGAGATGAGGGAGAGGGAAGTATAAAGAATGATAGCCAGGTTCTGTCCCCAGAGACTAGATGGAGGATGTCAGGCCATCCCCCAAGGCAGGGAACACAGAAGGAAGGAAGGATTCAGGGCAGGACCAGATGATGGGTTTGGGAATAAAATAAGATTTAGGCACCAATGGAATACCCAAGTGGAGGCGCCAGGTTGCCAGGCCTCACTACCAATAGAGGAGTTTGGACAGAATTTATAGAGTTCAGACTCATTAGCAGATAGATGAAAACAAATGAATGGATAAGATGACTCTGTGAGAGTGAGAATACAATTACTATAATAAGTGTTCTTATAATATAAATAAACATATCTAAAAAATAAAAATAAAATGATATCAAATTATTGTCAGATTTGAAGCCACAAGACATAGTGAGAATAATTGTAACTGAGAACTGTTGAAGGCAGTTCACGTACTTAGCTTTGAGAATGCAAACTCTTAAGTTACTTTATAGTTTAAAAAGAAAAGGGAGAAAATTTGGAAATATTCAGACTAGATATCCTTAAGTTTAATAGGCAATTATTTTTTATCTTGTCTTCATGCAATTGTCTTCTTTACAAGTTTGAAAAGGGCACAGAGCTCTTACAAAGTTGGTTTTAAAAGTTATCTTCCAAAGAAAAGAATGTAATCTGTAACTCTGAGACTATACATGTTTGTTATAGGAAACGTCCTTTGTTAAAGTATTTACTGGGGTGAACTATTTGTTCACATAAAGTTTTAAACTTTGATTATCTTAGGAAATATGATAATCAACTTCAACGTCTAATCAACTTCATAATTAACCTAGTCCTTTCATCTCATTAATCTTATTATAATGAACTAAATCAAAATATAAAAACTCTATGTAATGCAAGTCAGAAACATAACAGTAAGGCTTCTTCCTTGCAAAAATTATTTTGCTGTCAAATAAACTGATAATTGGATATCCATATGCAGAAGATTGAAACTAGACCCTGAACTCTCATTCTATACAAAAATCAACTCAAAATGAATCAAAGACGTCCTGTAAGAGCTGCAATGATACAAGTGCTAAAAGAAACCACAGGGGAAATGCTTCAGGACCTGGGTCTGGAAAAAGATTGTATGAATAAGGCCTCAAAGGCACAGGTAACAAAATTAAAAAAAAATGGGATTATATAAAATTAAAAATCTTCACAGGAAAGAAAAGAAGTCAACAAAGTGAAAAGAAAACTTAGAGAATGGGAGAAAATATTTGTAAACTACTCATTCAGAATGCATAAAGAATTCAAACATCTCAACAGCAAAACAACAACAACCCCTCCCCAAACCAAACAACCTGATTTTAAAAATGATCAAATTTTGAACAGACATTTGAACAGACATTTGTCAAAAGAAGACATATAAAGGTCCAGTAAATAGATGAAAAAACGCTTATCATCACCAATCATCAGAAATGCCAATCAAAATCTCAATGAGGTATCATCTCACCCAAATTAGGATGGCTATAATCAAAAAGGCAAAACAAACAAAAAAACCGCTGGTGAGAATGCAGAAAAAAGGGAACTCATACACATGCCGATGGGAATGAAAACTGGTACAGCTACTGTGGGGAATAGTATGCAGGTTCCTAAGAAAACTACACATAGAACGACCACGTGGGAATTTATCCTAAAGAAAGGAAATCAGGGGCAGCGCCTGTGGCTCAGTGGGTAGGGCACCTGCCCCATATACTGAGGGTGGTGGGTTCAAACCCAACCCTGGCCAAACTGCAACAAAAGAATAGCCGGGCATTGTGGTGGGCGCCTTTGGCCCCCTCAGCTACTTGGGAGGCTGAAGCAAGAGAATTGCCTAAACCCAAGAGCTGGAGGTTGCTGTGAGCTACAGCACCGTACTGAGGGTGACAGAGTGAGACTCTGTCTCTTAAAAAAAAAAAAGAAAGGAAATCAGAACATTGAAGAGACATGTGCACCTCCATGTCTATTTCACACTATTCACAATAGCCAAGACATAGAATCAACATAGGTGTCCAACAACAGATGAATGGATAAAGAAAATGTGGTATAAATACACAATGAAATACTACTCGGCCTTAAAGAGGAATGAAATCCTGTCATTCACAGCAGCTTGACTGGAACTGGGGGACATTTTGTTAACATGAAAAAAGCCAACAATAGAAAGTGACTGTGCTGTATTCATATGTGGAAGCTCAAAGAAATGTTGATTTCATTGAAATAAAAAGTACAACAGAGGAGACTAGAGACCAGAGGGTAAGGAGAAGGGAGGGACAGGCCGAGATCTGTTGAAGGGTACGAGAGGGAATAAGTTGCAGTGTTCCACAGCATTGTAGGGTGAGTATCACCAACAATAATGTGTTCTATAATTTCAAATAGAAGGAAGATACTGAATGTTTCCCACACAAAGAAATGATAAACGTGTGAGATGATGGATACAATAAGTACCCTGATCTGCTCACTGTCTATTATATGTATTGAAATGTCACTGTATCCCTTAAATATGTACAATTATTACTTGTCAATTAAAAAAATAAACAGGTGATTCTAATCGATTCATTTATGTTTCCTTAAAACATAAAAGGAAAACCTTGCACTTCCCCAGACCCAATTCTAAGTAATGCAACGTGTAGGAAAGAGGCAGAAAGCCTCTTCCTAGCTCTTCTCAGCCCTCGCTGGAGCGGAAAAGGTGGCATTTATTGTGTATGCAGGAGACTGAGATAAGATTTCCTGGGTTTGACTACCATCTAGTGACCAACCGGATTATTGGTTGAACTGAAGGCTGGAGTTCAGTGATGGCCATCTAGTGCTCAGAGTCCAAGATGGTGTTTCCTTTGTTGACCAAAGAGAATCAAGGTCAAGGCAGGAAAACGGAGAGCCTTTGACAGCAAATTTCTTCGACAAGAGCAGGGGAAGGCCCACGTATTCTGGTTAACTATTATTACAATAAATTTTTTTTTTTTTT